ATCCTTTTCAGTCTTTCTATTCTGCCTGGCGATGGACCCAATTTACCATTACCTGAATAAAATTCCGCGGGTATTAAGTGTGCAGGGGTATATAGATGATAATACGATTGCTGGACCTGGGAATGATATTGGATGGATCCAAGATATCCAAACGTGCTATCAGGTCTGCCAAACAGCCGGTTTCCAAATTGATTCTCACTTATGCTGGCAAGCAATCTGTTCTGACTGTTCCCCCTTTGATACGCAAGCTGTAACGGACAGGAAAGAGAAGGAAAGTCTCCTCCACCAAGCGTATCACCCCACTGCCCTGTCAGCCATTCGGGCTGCCATCCTGCCAAGGAAAACACTTATCCTGGCTAGAGCAGGAATTTGCATTGGCCTAACTCCAAGGAACGCTAGCCGTATTCTAAACGGAATGGACTACTCCCCAATCAGCTCACTCCTAGCCAGAGAGTGTCAGTGCAGATGCAAGACTGCCCTTGTAGTGAATAGCCCACTCCCAAGTTGGGTACTACGCCAACTTGACCAAGCCGGCTTTGGTGCTCACTGTGTGCAAGGGGTGGCCACGTCACTTGGCCTGCTGTTGCTAGGACGTGCACAGCTGAATTGCAATGACTTATGGGAAGCTACTACGCATCCATCAACATTAAAACATATCAATCCAAAGGCAGCCGAAAAATTTGTACACAGACTACGGTTGTTTAAGCAACCGGTATTATCAGTCGTGTCAAGAAGCATAGCTTTCAACACGTTTGCGCAAAGTGTAGTCCTGTATACAACCTCTTACTTTGGTGCTGCCACTGAAGACCTGCAAATGCTCAGGGCCGCAGCTGCTGAACTTCTTCTCGGCAGGAGTTGGATACGGCACGATTTGCTGGCTTATGTCCTTCGTTGGAGCGGAATATCCCCATTACTTGACCCGGGCCTGAGCATTCTAGTTTCTGCGCTAGGCCTATTTTTACGTAAAGGAGGAGAGCTTCATGAACTGTATAGTGAATACCCCCCACCTGTCAATAGGCAGACACATCAAGTTAGAGCCCTGTGGCAGGCCTGGTCTAGTATAGTAGGGGAAGAGCTACTAACTGCGGCTGCCTCAAGCAACGGAACTATCAAATATAGAATTGGTCAAGTGAAAACGCTTATTCTACGTCATATGATGAAAGTTGCATCCAGTTATATCCGCAATAAAGTATTGGCAGCAGGGTGGACGGGAGGAGTCAGCTGGACGTGGCTTTCCCAAGCCGTCTCAGCCAGCAAAAGATGGATCCCAAGTATGGCCAGATTTACCCTGCTCAGATGGGCTGTTAACGAAGATGACGATGATTGGCTGGCCCGGCGAGGTACGAGCAGAAGCAAATGCTGTGTATACTGCTCTAACACAGGGCGAACGTACCCATTGGGTGGTTGCCAAGTGGCAATTTGTGAAAATTGCATCTCTAGCAAACAGATTACTGCGTTTACCACTCACGCGGTGGCCCTGCCTGAGCCGAGAGCACCGGCCAATGTACCAAGTCAAAATGCAGCAATTGAAACCTGTCCATGCTTACCTTGCGTTGCCTGCGCCCAAGGAGACAACACGGTCGGACACTGGATACGATGGTGCCAGGTCCCAATCGTAGCTCTTAGGAACTTAACCAACGACACCACCATCTCATCGCTCTTGGACGGGTCGCGAAGGAGTAAGAAACACCTAGCAATTGCCACTAGAGTTGTTCACCAATATCGTATGTTATTACGAGAAGCTGGTGCTATGAGACATCAAGCTACCGCCCCATTGGTGGAGACTGAAACTTGGATTAACAATCTCACGCATAAAGTTTATATGGATCTCCCTACAGATTTGAGGGTTGCCCACATACGATTGCAGCGAACTATTGCAGGTTGTGACCTTGATGACACTAGTTTAGTATGTCTAGACAAATCTCCTCTACATATTTCGCATACGCTTGTCCCGGCACGAGTCTGTTGTACTACCAAGACGCATGGAACAGAAGAAGCACAATTGATTCAACCATCCTTCCAAGTCGGCATTGGAATTGTACCAAACGTTAAGTTAACTGTCTACCGATGCGGGTGTGGAGATTTCCACCTGAAAATTACTGCTCTGATGCTGATAGGTGTAGACGATGTGCTATGTAGCAACTTACAACAAGAAGCAAGTGCCTTGATAGTTCAATTTGATGGTTCTTGCCATGCAGATAAAGGAGTTGGAGGGGCAGGGGCAGCTTTATTGGAACTGCAGGCACAAGGCATAACTCTCCTGCAATGGAGGGCCCTAGCGCTGCCCAAGTGCCCTGACAACATTTTTGCTGAAGCTATGTCTGCAAACCTTGGCGCTGACCTGCTTAGTGAAGAACTGGTGAGAAGGAAATTTGCAGTCCAGCAAGCGTACCTACAAGGGGACATCCTCCCAATTATTAAACATTTGGCCTTTGCAGGACGCTTTCGAAGAATAGACCTACAACCAATTATACAACAAATAAGACGAAAGCAAGCCAATTTATTCAGCTTTGGCACCTGGATGTACCGTCCCAGAGAGGCCAATATAATCGCTGACTATTTGGCGGGAATCGCCAGTCGCGCCGCCTCTGAGTGTGTGGAGGACCAAGTGTACCCCTTTGAAGTACCTGCTCCAACCCCGTATGTCATGGCAATGCAAGCCGGAGCCATAGTATTAGAAGAACGGCCTAGTGGAGAGACTATACTCCTACTAACTGAACTCCCAAGTAATGGATGGCCACAGGTACGGCAGTTTCTCACACAGACTGTTGTTGAACGCTACAAGAGCGAACTAGAAGCCTACTTAGCGAGTACAGCAAATCTCACTCGACCACGAGTGGTTGAATACATGCCCACATCACTTGACAATCTAGGACGGCTATATCGCCGTGGCCCTTGTGCGCAACGACTTCCACGCACATTGCGGCTTTTGATCTTCGGTCGAACACATCAAGAAGTTGACATGGCTGGTTCCTTTTATGAAATCATGAGGCGCCTTAGCCAGGACTCCCACCTCCCGACCATCGCTGATCATCGATCAGTTCTTAATGACCTGCTAGGACTAGCCCCCCACGAACAACGGCAGTCGGCGATCAAGAAACACCCACTTATTGTGATGAATGCTGGCGCATCTTTTGCCTGTGCCAAGCTGGAACGAGACCTTGGATTCTCCTGCCCAGTGCCGTTAGTGCATCTTAGCACCATGATTGAAAGCGCCACCCGTAAGCTTGTTGGCACTCATCTGCCCAGACTAAGGCCTAGCTATCACACCAGTGATAAAGGGGCGACATTTCGCGTACTAGAATGGCACGAAGAATGTGTTATGCTAACCTTTTATAAAGAGCTCACGAGACGGGTGCACCTTAAATCTGTCATTTGGTTGCATGACGGGCTCTGGATCCCTAAAGAAGTTCCCTTAGAAACCATCGTGACTGCTGAACAAAGCATGCTCCAACAGCTCCAACTAGAACAAACTCCATTGTTTCGAATAAAGGACCTAGTAACCGAGACTAAAGAACTGATAAGTATAATGAACAAAGAATGCCACAACCTCGGTCATGGGCCTGCAATTCCGCACCAGGGAGATAGAGCAGTTTCAGCAATTCCACAGGACAGGGGTAGAATTCGATGGAACACGCAAGCGCCAACAGCAGGGTATGAAACTTTTGTAGAGCGCACTGCTAAACGGCGTAGGACATTGCGCTAACATTGTACTGCTCCTAACAAGTATTGCACCTGCCGGATGCAAGAACCAGGAAACAGTCAGCGTACACTGACTGCACGAAACCACAGGAATAAGCAGCATGTTAAGAGTTGGCGTTTCTAGCAATAGCTACCACTCAACCCACCACATCTCTTGGATAATGATCCCTCTCTTCCAACCGACGGACGCAGTTGAAGAGTTCCTGGAGCTTCCACCCGGTATTTCAGCCTCAGTGTGTATGCTCAAGCCAGACGTCTCACCTTGAAACTTGGCGACTCCGAGCGCGCTGAGCTTATGAGTGATGGTGGGCACATTCATCCCTCTCAAATGCGAACCATGGCAAGTAAGGTAGATGTGGGTAAGAAGCATATTGGCTCTCGAGATCAATCTGCTCGAATCAGCGAGATCAAAAGCTCCCTCGAAGAGATCATCGCCACCTTTGATCCGAAGAAAGCAGAGATACATCATATGCTAGAACACTTGACCGCTGCCCACAAGGCGATTGAGAAGGCTTGCACCCTTATCCAGGGTAACGAGCAGACGCAGAAGACCCTGAATGTGTCTCCCAGACGGAAGCAATCAGTGTCCATGATAGAGCGATCTCTCTGTTTCCATCAATGGCAAGCCCAACAAGCCCAACGACGCAGCACAACCTGCTCGACGAGTGAACTAGTAACGCGTTGTCGAACACCAGCCCGCCGACAGTTATGAACTAGCAAGCGATTAGCCAAAAGCAGTGGCTACTTCAGGCTTTTGTGTGCAAAGGGGATATAATGCTAATAAGGTAGAGATCTTTTCACAAAGTACACACCTAATATGCTGCGACTACTCAGGTTGCCCAAGGTTATGAGTCATCAACTGATTTTTATGCCTACAGCACCGTGAGGTTCAGTCGCAGACACTCTGGCTCAAACATCCACGAGACACAATACTCTACTGAGCTTGTCATCTATAGTGAAGCAGTAGTGAGCCTCATTGTTTAATTAATGACTACCCAGCAGGCATTGGGGGTTTCTTCTTCCTGAAAATTCAATTTGATGGGACCCCCTGATAGAGTGTAGTCGGTACTGCCCAAGCCACACTTAGGATCCTCAGGTAAGAAAACAGCGGGGTGCCTGTACACGGTGTTATTCCGACCATAGACGTGTCGGGGTATCACCTGCCAGGTTTCTGCCCTCAGTACCCTTGCAACAGCCACCTCACTCAAAGAAAGAGATTTCCCTATTTTCTGTAAAGAGTGACGCGGTTAAATGATGTCTTTCACTAACAGCAGTTCACCAACGACAACTTTGAAGCCATGGAGGAGGCCAAGCTGATCCGAATGGCAACAGCCATCAGCGAATACACCATCAGCAGTATGCTGCGAGAAACGGCATCCGAAGCAGCCGAGATTCTAAATAAAGCTGCTCCAACAGCGCGAACCATCTTATGTGCACCACAACAACTGCTGAATGATTTTGCTGAAGCACAGAAGGCACTAGAGCAGTTAGAAAGAAGCGCAGTTTCCTATCAGAAAGAGCGTGCAGCAGATGTGGCTGCTGCACAGAAAGATATCATGCAGCACTGGCACCCACGCAGGACAGAGGAGCTTGGATCGAATTTCACTACGGAACTACGACAGTAAATAGGACATCTCTTGTGCTAGAGACTGCTGCAGCAGGAAAGTGAGCACGCGTTAGGCATCCTAGAGTATGTCAATGGGAGTACATAGATCACTTGGAAACGCCTTAACCCTGGAACTATCGGTCTTATTCGATGACTTCTCACTATGCATCATTCACGCATCAATCATGTGATCCAACCAAGTTAGCGGTGGTCATGTAACAATTCTATGTGTTTGCACCAATTGAGTGATTGCATGTTAAGCTTGCCTCAGTTCACCCTCTCAGTGGCATTTGCTGATATAACCATCTTGTCCTCCTACGGCTCTCAGCACCAGTAAGAAGAGTTGCATTCGTTGAAGAGCGCAGGTTGTAAGCTTAAAGTATGACTGATGTTATTTTCTGGTCACTCACAATCCTTCGACTTTTCAAGTCTGCTGCATCCGTGTGACTGTCTACATATCATACTTCTGGTGGCTTCTATCAACCTAGACTCTATGAGTTAGATACAACACCACTACCTGTACACGGTGCTCCTCTGACCGTAGACGTGTCGGGTTGCACCTGTCGGGTCCCACATTATTGCACAAGCACACTACAGCCGCTACCAATGCATGATAACACTACTTGTTTAAGCAAACTATCCGGCACATCCTCTGGAGAGAAGACATGACAAGGGCACATCACCTTACATCGTACAGCTCTGTCCTAGCCATGGCATCTCCGTCAATTACGTTCCTGGAGAACTACCATTGGAAGGGCTACACAGTCGATACCATTGTCAATAACTCTAACACTGTGATGTGTTTGCACCGAGGAAATTTTCCAATGCACCGACACTGCAGAAATATCGAAATAGGTTGTGTTCCCTTCAACCTGCTGGAGGCATGGGTATGGATCCAAATGGAAAAGTGGAACATCCTGTGGGCAGATGATGAAACTTGGCTCCCACCGGACGAAAATGTGCTATCACGAGAACGTCTACCTCATGGCTTTCATAAAGTCATTACCCATGACACAGACGAGGAGTACCTTCAGGAGTGGGTTGAGGTGGCTGGCAAAGGCTTTTATCCCTTCGCGGCTGAGATTCGACACTATGGCTATGCTTGTTGGGCAAACTCGCGCCGCTTTGCCATTGTAGCGCGAAGTACACAACAATGCACTATCATTGCAGAAGTCATGCATGCTTACAATTTGTTGGGTAACCGCATCGAGGTATATGCCCCCCAGGCAGATGGAATTGCTCTCACAGATCGCACAAGAATCAACCGAGCGATTCACGAGGATGATCGTTCAAGTTTTGATTTTCGGCAATCCCAAACCTGCCGCGATGCAATTGCGGGGAAATTCCCCAACAATGCCAGTGAGGAAGAAAGATTATTCCATCTCCGTGAAAGGATCACCCTTTTGCAGAAACAGCACAATGACGCGATCCATGAAGCAAACAGAGCCAGTTATCAGGTACAGCAGAGTTGGCAGATGCTCAGTGAAGCCTATGCGGCGCTGTTTGCGGGGTAACCTGCACCACAACAGCCACTGACTTTGCCCGGTGATGGTGGTGGAGACGCTAGAGTGATCTTCCTGAAAAAGTAGGGTAGCTGGTGGCATCATCAGGATATCTACCACTGGGTTGGTTGGATTTCTGCACTAATAATCTGGTCAAGACTAGCCATGTTCACACTTGTGCCCATGCCTATTTGTGCACATGTCTGTGTTGTCGGTTTCGGCTGATCAAGTGAGGCCGGTAGCCTGGGTGGTAGTAGCCAAGCGGTAGTTGAAAGCATAATAACTCTAGAAATCACCTGTTGTCTGCCCCGGACTGCCACTAAGTTGTTTTGAATCCTCTACCTGTGAATGGCTTTTTGTTCCAACATGACTACTCCTACGTCCCCCTGCCCCTAGACACATGCAGCAAACATTACAGTACAACCTCGGCTGCAAGCCTCATGGCCCATGCGCGCTTCAGACATGATCGTCATCAAATACCATCGTCGGTCAGAGTGCTTATGCATGGCCTGGAAGCTGCCCAGGAATTGACCACTACACTAAGAGACCTGCGCCGTACAGTCAAGCTTCTGCAGAGTGGACTTGTCATATTATTTCCGGACGAGACGTCTGGGTTGCAGCTGCTGTACAGCACGCTTGACAGAGACCTCATGCAAGTGGAACGCACGAGTCAATTCATCACCCATCAGCTCCTTATAGCGATGGCAGAGACACATCATGACATTGTACGATTGGCAACTTTCTGTAGCCCGGCAGACAGAGGAGTCTGGATCAACCGGCTCTTCTTGATTCCCGCAGGTTCAAATTCCTTAACTGATGGTTCAGGCAGATACCCTGTCCCTCTCGACGCTCTCCCATTTCGAATTGTGGTCAGGACTGTCCTCATCTCGGCCAGCTTAGGAGGGTACATGGATACAGATGCGCTTGCTGCGCCCGTCTCATCTCTGGTTGAGTTAACCTTTGCGCTACTACGGGTTAATAGACCCTGGAACATCAGGACATGGACGGAAGTCTCTGACGGAATAGATACTGCTGTTGTCTCGGTGGCCCAAAGTACCCTACTCAGAGACATCGCTAGGGAACTCCAACCTCATGTGCGTATTCAGATCCTCATGCAGGATCCACCCACTGCGGTAGTGAGTGACTCCACCAGTGAGCTGCTGTCTCCAAGGGTATTTCTACTGTGAAAAATCAGCAGAAGGTGAGCGTAACAATCCGATCATGCAACATAGAATATCACTAGTGCTGCGCTAGTCTACTGATACGTCAACATGCAGAGTCGGCCTGCAGCTATTTCATTCTCAAAACAGATTGGGCTCAAACGCAGCAGCTATGAAGTTGACACGTTTGCATTTCAGATTAACCCACTCTCACCTGGGTAATGTTATCAGATTACTGCTATGAGCCTAGTGCACCAATAGTACGGGTATAACCACTTAAGTATTTAACTCTAGGAACTACCTGGCAAGGTGTCTCTCTGACCGCAGACGTGTCGGGTGCACCTGTCAGGTAGCAGATGACCCCCTTTTGTTTAGGTTAGTTTGAATCTTGGCCTGTTCCTAGGTGTACTATAAGTACCCTCTCCCCTTACTGCCACCCCCCCTTTCTCGCTTAGTTTTAAGTTGTGCATTACTGGTGTGCAGGTGTTGTTCTAGAAGATTCTCTATCATTTCCCTGTGTCTCTTCCCACTGACGGCTCTGGAAAACGGCCTAGCTACCTAGTATGTAAGGGTTGACAAAGTGGATTCAAGATACTAGATTAACTCCTAGACATGAAGCACCTTGATGCAGTTGATGGAGAGCTAGCGGCAGTTGCAGCTGAAGAACGGCCAGCCGAAAGTATTATTGGACAGAATCTTGAACTGGTTATACTTACGCTGCGATCCCCGGATGCTGAAGTATGGACAGCCAGCACAGCAACGGCTGCTGCGTTTGAACTTGATATCGCACGCTACCAAGAATATATCCTACTCTCTAACGGTTTAGTACAGCGCACTCCATGCGAGTGTTCTCTCACGGACGAGGACATCAGTTATATAGACGATCAATTGATTGACCAGCTCGGCCTGGAGGGCATAACAATCACGGATTCCTCTACGGTCCGAGTGGTAAGAGTATTTGTTCAGCAAAGCTATACAGAGCTTGCATGTTTTCGTGCTCTTTTCTAAAAGCATGTATAGGTGACATACGCCCTGCGGAGAAAATGTGCAGAGTGAAGTGATGCAACAGTTCACCCCCCTTTCATGTCGTTTTCCACCTCATGCACATGCTGATGGTTGCATGGCAAACAGTCCTATGGTAAGGTGGTGTACGATACTGCTTCTCGGCTCAAACTATCCGTTCCCCAGAGCTATTGCAAGGCGGGGGCTCTCACACTTCTGGCCGTAGACGTGCTCAGGGGTGTACCTTCGTCTTGCCCCCCCCCCTTCTCCCCTCCTCTGCCTGTCCTCCCCCTCTCTCTTCTTGATCCTTGCTGCCGCTTGCTCTCCTCCCCCCTCTACTGACGCCCCTGCCTCCTCCCGCTGTACTGTGCCACTGCACCAATTTCCTCTGTGGTTTGAACTTGCCCTACTGTCCCTCCTGACCTGCCTTACTCCCATTGCTGTGCTCTTTCCTCTAACCCGTACACTACACTGAAGCAGCCGGCGCTTGTTAGTTGAGTCGCCATGACGCAATGGGTCGGAGATAAGTGGAGGTTGAAGGCAGGCCCACAGCTTGGCCAAATGAATAAGGATGAGCCAACTGAGGCCACAATTACGGAAAATAACCCAGAACCCTTCCGCTGTGGCTACAAGGAGACCTTTATCCAAGAATATGATGGCATCAAGGTGTACCACCACCAAGGCAGTTATCAGCACATTGGCCCGCAGGTCCACACGTGGGCCTTCTATGAATATCGGATGATTATCAATTCAGAGTGCTGGAACATTATAATCGATGAGAACATGAAGGAACTTCCTGGCAGTTTCCCGGGGTCCAACTCCACTAAACTTACGCACGATTTCTGCCATATTGATACTGAAAGCAGTGACGATGAGTACACTAGCTTCAACTTCGTGGAAATGGGAGGCCGTGTTATTTGGCCCTTTTATATCACAGAATCCTTTCAGGAAGACCTGTGGATCTGGGTCAGTCCTCGTCGATTTGCCATCATCTCGAATCATCCGCATAATGAAAAGCTGAATCACTTCTACTCAAACAAAATGCATGAGCATTATATTCTAGCCAACAGAATGAAGTGCTGGCACATCTACGCAGTGAATATAGAAGGCAGTAAAAAGACGGATTGTCTCATTGCTCTCAACGACGATTCAAGGATAGATTGGGCTGACAAAGAAACCTTCACCACAGGATTTGAAGGCAAATATGATATGCGACCGACGATGCAGAAAGGAGGAATGTCCCATGGGAAGCGCAAACACCCAGGCCCCATGGGGCAAGGCGATGCCAGGCCCTTTGACGCTACCGGTACTTATAGTGCCCGAGACATGCAAGCTCTCAACGCCACCTTTGCCAA